TAAATAAACATTTGAATAGTAATGGACCACTCTAAATTTTGCAGTTATTTTTTGATCTTTTATATCATTTAAACATTCCTTTTCCTCTTTCTTTCTTTTTTTAACTAAAGAAAATTAGTATGGCTGGAGTTAGCATATTCAAAGTACTATGCTAGTCATTTTAATTTTGCACAAGTCATAAAATAAGGAGCTAATTCAAATTAGTCTTTCTTCAATATCTCTATCATGTTACTTTCTTAATTATGCAGACCATCTCAGACATGTTATTTATCTTTCCTGAAATAATTACCAAGGATGTGCCCAAAGCTCTGAATACATTCTTTAGTTTGAGAAGAATCACATTTAGCCTGATCCTTTTAGAAATTTCAACACGTGACCAAAGAAAACCCCATTCAAATGGAGGTTTTAACCAAACGAAGTTGAACAAAGTATTATATATGTATATATAATTTCCATAATATAGCAAGAGGACAAGGATAAAAACATGAAAGAAAAAAACTAAGGGAAATAATTTATCTAATAAGAAGGCCTAATATAGATTGAATCAAAGTCCCAGAGAGAAGAGACTGGAATTAATATAAGAAAAATGATATTTTGAAGTGAATAGCTGAGCCATATATACAACTGGTAAAATTCAAGGATCCACAGATTCAGGAAAAATAAAAGATTAAAAGAAGTAATAATCTACTGTTTCAAACACACTGTAGGGAAACTATGTGCCACCTAACCTAAGACCTAAAAAGAAGTCAGAGAAAAGATTTCCTAAAATCTATGACTAAATTAAAAAAAAAAAAACCTTCTTAGAATTTACAATAGAAATCAGTAACAATGAATACCATCTGGGAATTTTTCAGAAAAATTCTATTGAATATAAACCCCAGTAAATAGTTTGCCACCAACTGGCCTTAATATCTAATGGAGGTACACAAGGAAGAACTAAACGGATACCATTGGGATGCCAAATATAAGAAATAATGATGAGAGAAGAGATAGCATTATTTGTATAAAGTAATCTTAACATGTATGACTTACATAAGAATGAAATATACTTTAAAATTAAAGACAGATAATAGCTTTTAAATTCAGAGGGGAGAATTTAAGTCCATGTAATGTGGGGTTTGCACATTGCTCTAGAATGAGGTAAGATAGGCTTTAGTGTTATATTTTATAATCGTAGTAAGAATGGTAAATTCCATTGATAAATACCAAATGAATAGAATTAGAGTATATCAATTTCAAATTAGCAGAGGAGAATAAAAAGAAAATTCAAAAATATGAATAAAAACAGGAAATTATGAAGTCAAATAACTATAATACAAAAGTAGCAGTTGGGGACAAATAAAAAAGTTTGGGACAATCAAAGTAAGTGCTTAGAAGCAAAGTTATATATATATATGCACAAATGACAATATAAAGACTGTCATATTAGATTTTTAAAAGAATAAGAACTAAAAAGAAATAAAAAATTTAGAAAGAGAAAAATATAGAAGAAGCATGGGTGTAACTCACTCAAGTCAAATTTGAATACATTATCCTTCTGTAAGGGTAATAAGAGAAATCAAAACCAAAACTGTAGCCAACATATTGAAGAATAAACAATGAAATAGAATATGGTACAGCATATCGTTTTCACAAACTAGAAACATAAATTCAAAGGAATTTTCCTCCTCCTCAATTGACATATTTCATTCAGTTACTGTATAAATCCTGAAAAGAGTTCATCTTATAATTTGTAGAGGAATTTTAAAAATATGCATGAAAAACCCTGAAGAAGAAAGGGTTTGGAAGATAGTAAGATGAAGTGGAAAGTATTGGCAGGGATTAAGCTACAGAAAATGCAATGGATTATAAATAGATAGTAATTAAGCAGTATGTCAATGGTATTGATATTAACAAAGAGAACACCAAAAGTCTCAAAAATAACCCTTCGAGTTAAAGAAGCGTGTGTCAATGGCAGAGGTGGCATTGCAAGTCACTAAAGAAGCAGGTCAGAGCCATGGAATGGTTCTGAATCCTTTCCTTTCAAACTTGACAAAAATAATGTCATATGAATTAAAAAATTAAAAGAGAAAACAACCATCAATAACTTCATAAGAAAATACTTATATAAGCACATTTTTTATAACTCTAGGATAGGGAAGGATTTATTAAGTAAGAAACTGACACTATAAACTTCAGTAGGAAGAAATTGATATATTTGACTTCTTGTTATTAAAAGAGAATAAATAAACAAAATGACAGTTATAAATTTTAGGGAAAAACTGCAACCAGCAACAAGTAACACATCAATACTAAGTTATACATGAACAACTACAATAAACAGATAAGAGAACAAAAAAATTTTCATATAAATAGGCAGAAGGAGAGGAAAAGATAAAGGCAAATATGAGAGGCAAATCTCATTCGTGGTAATGAAACTAAAAGCACAAGGAAACGATTGCATAAATTCACTACACTTCTAAATATTAAATCCAAACACTAACTGCTGGATCAACTGAAATTCCCACTGTGCCAGTGAGAGTGTGAATTTGTACAACCACTTGGGAAAATACTACTTCATCACTTTGCATATGTAACATTGATAAATAAATTTAATGAAAAATTCTAATGCTATACATATTGAAAGCAAACACATTTATAAGTATGCTTATGACAGGTCTGAATTTAATGAAACACACACACAAAAGTCTATTTACAGGTCAATGGATAAATAATTTGTAATACATTCTAACAATGAAATATCATATAGAAAACAAAGCAAAGAAGTGCATTTAATCCCATAAAAAAGTAATATGAGTGAATATTTGGAACATAATAAGGGAAAATGCAAATCCTAAAGAACTATAACAAAATAATATTTTATAAATCTCAAAAAATTAGATGGTATAGTTTAAGAATATGTTAATATGATTAAAAAACTTGTAAAAAATCAAATAAATTATAAACAAAATTTAGGCTCCTGTTTTATCCTTGGCACAGGCCAGATAATAGAACATGGGAAGAGCTAATAAGAATAGTTAATGACAATGTTCTAATTATTGATTTGTATTAAAAGTAATAGACATTCCAGGTGTTATTGTTCTTCAAGACGCGTATTGAGTTTATCTTGATTTTAAGTATTAAACACTATTTTAATTAATTAACAAACAAAAAACCATGATTAAAATTTTTTTTAAAGCATCAGACATTTTTTTGTCTACTCTCTATCTGTAGGTAAAGTAGCTGATAATTGTACTGCTGTGGCTTGCTATAATTTATAAAAAATAATTCTCCCAAATAGCTTACAGGGTTGTAAAATTCATCTTAGGCCTTAACCTGTGGGTGGATAGGGAGTCTACATGTACCAAAAGAAGATTTTTTTCATCGCATCTCTCAGAGCAGAAGCATGAGCCAGGCTGTGCAGCAGAGACTAAAAATACTCTTTAGACAAGTACCCACTGGGGACTGTGGCGTCTCCATTCCTTTGCTAAATTCATGTTTTCTTGAGAGTAGAGATTTGAAACATGATTAAAACTCACCGCAAATGTGCAACATTTGTACCTCCCACGCCTCCCTTTCCTCCTTCCCCACTCCTGCAACAAACAAAACGCTTCCATTGAGTTGATTCCAACGCGCAGTGGCCCTGTAAGACCTGGGTTCAATTATCCTTGTTGTCCCTTGTCCTTCTAAGACTGGAACTGTGACAGGCGTGGACAGCCTCAACTCTCCTACTTAGGTGCTCGTGGTTTAGAACGGCTATCAGTCAAATCGGGCTCATTGCATTGAGTTACTTCTTAGGTACTTTCTAATAATTCTAGTAATTTTCTATTCGTTTGTGTCAATGGTCTCATTTAAAAATAGCCCAGCTATCAAAAGGTATAGCGTCTGGGGTCTTAATAGCTTGAAGGTAAACAAGCAGCCATCTAGCTCAGAAGCAACATAGCCCACATGGAAAAAGCACACCAGCTTGTATGATCACGAGGTGTCGAAGGGATCAGGTATCAGGCATCATCAGAACAAAAAAATCATATCATAGTGAGTGAGGAGGGCAGTGTGGAGTGGAGACCCAAAGCCCATTAGTAGGCCACTGGAGATCCCCTTAGGGTCTCGGGGAGGAGACGAGCCAGTCAGGGTGCGATGTAGCAACGATGAAAAATACAACTTTCCTCTAGTTCCTAAATGCTGATCACCCCCTACCATGACTCGAATTCGATCTTGCAAATCTGGCTAGACCAGAGGATGTACACTGGTCCAGATAGGAACTGGAAACACAGGGAATCCAGGGCGGATGATCCCTTCAGGACCAGTGGTGTGAGTGGCGATACTGGGCGGGTAGAGGGAGGGTGGGTTGGAAAGGGGGAACCGATTACAAGGATCTACATGTGACCTCCTCCCTGGGGAACGGACAACAGAAACGTGTGTGCAAGGAGACGTAGGACAAGGCAAGATATGACAAAATAATAATTTATAAATTATCAAGGGTTCATGGGGGAGGGTGGAGCGGGGAAGGTGGGGAAAAAATGAGGAGCTGATGTCAGGGGCTTAGGTGGGGAGCAAATCTTTTGAGAATGATGAGGGCAATGAATGTACAAATATGCTTTACACAATTGATGTATATGCATGGATTGTGATAAGAGCAGGATGAGCCCCTAATAAAATGACTAAAAAAATAAAAATAACTTACATCAATTTCTGTAGTCATTTATATGATAAATCCTATTATCAATTAGAATATTGCAGACTATTATCAAATTAAGATATCTCCTTTCTTTTTTTCCTCTCTCTCCTATTTTCTGAGATTTTTATGAATGATGTGTTTCAAAAATATCCTAGAATGAAATTACAAGATATCACACAAGAGGACAAATGCTAGTCGAATGGCAGCACAAGCCTATCTTTTAAGTTATTTCCCCTGAAAACAATCACAATTATCTTTATTGTTTTTAGTTCTATCTAGGGATGAATGGTGGTGTACTGATATTTACATTAAGATAAAATGTAATGAGAATCAGCATGCTTACTGTGTTACTGGAGTTTCCATTTAAGTGCAAACCACTGTCAAACAGAGGCGAAGAAGCCCCACTGCTATGATCACTGGATGGCCCTGGGGATCCTGAAAACAAAATGAGAGAGAAAGTCATTCTAAGCCATGAAATAGATTCAATTCTAGCCCCAAAGTATGATGCCACCTGTGATAAAATGTCGAGGACAACTATCAGAGATGTTGATAATCCAATTTATAACATGCATTATAGATGATACAGGGACTATAGGACTGGCCTCTCTCACACGGAGAAATGCTGTCTTACAGGATCCAATGAGGTAGCTGTGTGAATGAATGTGCTCCCTGAATTCTTAATGTAGCATATGAATACTTAGCTAGGCTATTTGATTTTGTCTCCCTTAGGAACTTTATAAATTTACATTAAGGATCCCTTGGTAATACAACGGTTGAACTCTTGGGTGCTAGCCAAAAGGACTTTCTGAGATATGCAGCAAGTCAAAGGAGACATGCTCTGACATCCAGTCTCATAAAGAGGAAAACCAAAATTTACTGCTGCCCAGGTGACCGCACTCACAGGGATCATACAGAACAGAGTGGAACTGCCCCACAGGGCCACCCAGAATGTAAATGTTTGGGGAGTAGAGTAACACCCCTCTCTCTCAAGCAGTGACTGAGGGGTTCAACAGTCTACCTTTGGATGCGCAGCTGAATACTTTAACCACAGTGCCAGCAGAACTATCCCAGTCTCAGAAATCTAATGGGGCAGTTCTACTCCATTATATAGGATAGATACAGGTCAGGATCAACTCTACAGCAAACAACATTGTCAAAATCCATTTTCTAAAATATTTTGAAATTTTCTAAAAAGGGAAATTGGATGAGCAGGTAAGAACAAATATAGAAAAAAGAAAAGATGTATGGAAATCCCATACATTTGTCTAATCGCACAGTGGAGTGATGATTAGCAATGGGTGCAAACATCTCTTAGATGACCCATGACAGAAATTTCTCCCCTGGCGTTTTGAACATTCATCATTTGTATCTTTGCCTTTATACTAAGATGATCTTGTCCTTACCATCTTAGTGCAATTTGTCTTGCCCTGTTTTCCATTTGGTTTCCCAACTGTGAAGCACGGGAGGAATGGAGGTTTGATGATAATAACTGCTACACGGGGTTGTAGGGAATGCAGGGGTGGGGGATGGATGACGGAGAGGGACTTTAAGGGGATTGCAATTTCTGGAGTGAACAGTGAGGGCGGGAGCGGGGAGGGAGCACAAGAACTGATCGTGATTACACAGTTCACTTTGAAGGCGATATGACCATGGCAGGGGGGGGGCAGGCTCTAAGATAGATGTGGTAGTGACTGAATAACTATCCTTGATGTGATTGAATGATTGACTCTTCAATTATATGATATGTGAATTGTGTGCCAATGAAACTGTTGGAACATATAAATAAAGCTACTACTTTAAATTACAGAGATATTAAGTATTAACAACAACAACAAATGTATGTACAAAAGCATAAAGCACCCGCTCTACTCTAAGGGTGTTGCTATGTGCTAAACTTGACTCATTGTCAGAGGCTGCGGGGTTACTCTGACCTTGGAAGTGTTTCTGTCCATTGTCAGTGCAGGGTGGTGACAGTGATTTTTATTTCTTTCTTCGACTCCAAGCCTGTGAAGCGTCTGTGCTCAGTCATTTAATGTAATAAGTGCACATGCCAAGCACAGGGTGAATGGGAGCTCTGGCATACACAGAGTACCTATTTCATATCAGAACTGTGATAGGCAGCTTTAATATTAATGGTTTCAATCCTCTTACACGGTATTATTGACTGATTGACAAGTGATGAGCTTAAAGTCTTGAAGCAAGAAACTTACCCATAATGACTAAAGTGAAAATGTTATTACTATAATTCTGATTTGGAAAAGTCATGGAGCAAACACTTAACGGTATCGGGGTGTTTTTATCTTTAACAAATATTATATATATTACATATACACATAGTATATTTTATATAATGTATATCATATATAAACATACTAATCAGTTATAACACCATACTAAGGAATAACATTTGTGAGGATGGTGACGGACTAGGTAGTGTTTAGTTTCCTACGGGTCAGAACAGACTCAAGGCACCTAAAAACAACAACAAGGCGTAAAGATATCCAAAACCTTGACATACAAATTAAATGATTACGAGCTTAGGAGGTGAAACCAGAAATCTATATTGGATTCAGGCTCTAGTCCTTGTTAACTATGTAAATCAAGCAAGCTGTGTATTCCTGTAATTCTAATTTTTCACAGAAGCATGCTAATAACTATGGCCACTCAAAGAATCACTGTAATTGTCTAAATGGAGCAGACGTTGGCTGTTCAATGAAGTATCACACATTTATTCATTATTTGATGAATCTTTTAAAACACAGTGAGATCTATTTCAAGGAATCAATGTTTCTTGCCATTTGCCCAGACAAAATGGCTCACTTTGATCTAGCAGCAAAGAGAATCCCCCTCTGAATGCATCGCTTTGATGGAAAGGAAGAAAGATGTGAAAAATTAGCAGAAAGAAAATAACCAAAAAAAAAAAAAGAAAGAAAATAACCAAAAACTGTGAAAAGAGGAAGATTTGCATTAGAAAGCATCAGGTATGTGCCAACTGATTGCACTAGCTCTAAAGGCGCTTGGGGCCTCTGTGAGACAAATTTTACTCCAAGGCAACTAAGAACATATGGTAGCAGAGTTTGCCACAGGCAATGGGGACAGTGGTGGTTGTCAATTAATTGCAAAGGCAAACCTGTCCAATGTAGTTCTAACTTACAAAATAAGAAAGAGGGTTTGGTTTTGTTTCTTCTGAAAATGAAGTTGGAAAACTCCTCATCAGGGGCTCCAATATTAAGAGGTGAGTGTTCACTTCATGTCTTCTTATCTGAGATATAGTCAGTTAATATGCCTTAGGGCACAGTGGTTATCCGTTGGGCTGCTGACTGCAAGGTCAGCAGTTCAAAACCACCAGGCACTATACTCCAGTAAAAAGGCAGGGCTCTAGATGCCAGTAAAGAGTGGCATTCCTGGAAACACACAAGGGCCATTCTACCCTGGTCTAGGAGGTCTCTATGAGTCGGCATCAACTCCATACAGCGAGTTTAGTTTTTGTTTGACCATAATTCCTGATCTGACTTATTATAATTTTGGACTTAATGCCAGTGGCTAAGAACACATTTTGGAGGCTGCTCTCTATTACAGGATTCAGGTGAGATGTGTCCTCAGATGCTACTGAAGGGTGTGACTGAAATCACCATGTTTTCTTTCCTTGATGGTCTAGCTTGCTAAAGACAAGAAATGGTTTGGGTTAACCTCTATCAAAGCTATTCCTCTGTACATAACAACAATCTCTGACAAAGAGGGAATGTCCAAGACCATCTGAAGGGCGCATTACAGATCTCTGTCTGAAGTGGTGGAGGCTGAAATCAGAGGCACCAGAGACTGCGCCACCGAGATTCTGCAAGGTGGCGTGGCAGGCAAGGTCGGAGGAAGTCAGTCCTCCCTCACACAAAAGTCCGTTGAGCCCTAGGAAGTGAGCAGTAAAGGACACGACACATGGAAGACCCCTGACAGACAAGAGTACATCCAAGTCAAATAGAAACCCATCTCTTTTTAAAATAATTTTATTGGAGGCTTGTACAAATTTATCAAAATCAATCCATCCATCCATCCATCCATCCATCCATCCATCCATCCATCCATCCATCCATCCATCCATTGTGTAAAGCACACTTGCTTTCTGCTTGAGCCCATGGTATCAGCTCCTCATTTTTCACCCTCCTTCCTTGCCCCCCACCATGAACCCTTGATAATTTATAAATTATTAGACGGTGGGGCACAAACAGAGGAACAGTGCCAAGAGACAGAGCAGCCAATGGAGGGAGAGGCCAAGGGAGAACATAAGGATCAGAGAGAGACTTGGTTACTGGCTGAGGAGAGGTGCTGCTGGGAACCAATGACTGTGTCCATGCTACTTTCTGATCCCAACTTGTGGTGATCTGTCAACTTCCTTAGCAACCCTCCATAATTGCTAGTACTGTCTGTAAGTTCTAGATGGCCATTGCAATGAATTATCAGACCCAGCATAGAATCAGAGTGCCTCGGGAAGAAGGGTGGGTGTCACAGTGGGTAGAGAAGGATGCTGCTTGGAGCATGTCTGACCCCTGCCTGTTGGAAATAGGGAAGTTGGGGGGGGGGGCAGATATGTCCCCATGGCGTTACTGCCTTATCCAATCAGCGATCTCAGGAGTGAGAGACCCTGGGTCTCCTACTACCAATTTGGGTACGGAATGGGTTTCTGATTCGCCCTGTCTAGGTTATATGTAAATATCAGTGCAGTGTTAATGGGTTAACTAGGACATAGGGCATTTATTTTCTTTTAGTTTAAACATCTTCCAGCCAACTTTAACCCTTAAATAACTATTGGGATGAAAAGTAATCTTAGGCCAAGTTTCCAAACTAACTAGTAGACAGAAGCTAAATATGAGTGAACATTTTTGAGGGTCAAAATGCAACAAGTTTCAATCAAAGTTCATATTCCAAACTTCTGACTTTCCTTTGCATACAAGAAAGCCCTAGGTTAAAATTCTCAAACGATAATAAAAGAGGGAAAATGTCTGGAACTGAGTGATGACTGTCTCCTCCAGAGGAGACTTCTGTTTTTACTGAATTCCAACTATCATGTTCTACCGACACCCTGTAGGCATTTCTGTTTTCTGCCTAGCTCCTGTAGGCATTATTTATTTTTATTCATTAAGATAAGTGCTATAAATACAGTATATAAAATGTCAGTAAAAAAAAAGAACATGCATGAGACACTTTAGGGTGATCAAAATCATAGTTATAATTCATGGAGAATCAAACTAAAAGGTTTGCATATGTCACTCTACTAAATTCTAACAAAATAAAAACCAGTGAAATCGGCATTATTTATTATTATCACCATTTCAGAGAAATGAAAAATTACTGGAGCACCATCCCTTGCTGCGCCAGCCTCACAATCACTGTGAGCCCCTGTTGAGATGATTTCGCCACTGAGAAGAGGTGATGGTATCAAA